TGGATTCAAGTGTAGAATCAAGTATAGAATCAAGTATAGAATCAAGTATAGAATCAACTATAGAATAAACTATAGAATGAACAATAAAATAATCGATCGAATAAACGATAGACTGAGCTATAGAATGAACGATAAAATGAACAATCTGGATGCCACTATTACTATTACTATTACTATTACTATTACTATTACTATTACTACTACTACTACTACCACCACCACCACCACCACCACCACCACTACTACTACTACTACTACTATTACTATTATTATTACTACTACTGCTACTACTATACCTCGAAATACTAAGTCAGCCTTCGGTAAATCGATTTGGTATGCGATAGCTCCGGTAGATTCCTGTATTCTAGAATTAATTTCTAATTCCACACCAACTTGCAACTGCTGACTAGCTTTTTGATGAAAACATAAATGACAGCCAGATAAACCTGTTCAAAAAACGGCCTTAATACACAATTACCTCTCAATTATTATCATATTAACATAACATATATAACAGTCGTACCAGGACTATTATAGTTCCATTATCAAAGGGTTACACACCTAAGCTACCACTAATTGTAGAGTCTCCGTTTGTGTACCTTCCAACGGCTGAAACAACAGAGACATGACCTCCTGGCACTGCAGGACCTCGTTGATAAGCTAATTCTCCGCCCAGCGCGACAGATGGAGTTATACTTTGTAGATAATGCATTACAAAAACGCCTAAAAAACGATTCATTCCTTACCATAATAGTTTATAATATTTTACATAAGTGATCTTTACCTCGCACGCTTACCAGAACCACTCAGTATGTCCGGATTGCCCAAAGTCAATGAGACTGTATACGCATCACCACGATAATCCGTTGTCATTTGAACAGCTGTATATTTACTTTTGTGAACTTGGGTGGCTAATTTTCCTCTTAATCTTTCACCGAATTGATGAATAACGTTAGCATTAAGATTTCCACTTGGATCTATATCACCTAATAACACTGGATAAGCTTCCAAAGGCATTGGTTGTTGAGTACCGACGTACGTCGCTCCAAATCTGAACATGTTACGGTATTACTATAGCTAATCGATAACCTATATTTCAACAATGCGCCATTTTCTTAACAATTTTAACCTTTACCTATATCCAGATTGCGCAATGGAACCCATGCTTATTGTATGTGAAATTTGAAAGTGATTGCTAAGACCTTTGTTGAATATCAGCTTTGCACCCTCAAAGTTTCCAGGGAATATATCTACCATTGTATTCAAATTTAACATTAAAGCTATGCTTTAACTGCAGTTAAATGAAATTACATTTAAAAGAAATTCATTACCCATATACGATTATCTCGGCAAACAAGATTAGCCAATAGTGAGATACAAATTGCTAATGAAATACGATAAAAGCAAAATGAAAGAATCAAATAATCGGCGAATTTGAAGCCAGATACCTTTACACTTCTTGTGAAGTTCCTCGATTGTACCAGGATTTTTCAAACTATCAGAAAGTCTGACAGACGACTGCAATTCTTCGGCAGAGTCTGGTTTTCCTAAATTAGGCAATAAACTTGAGGTTGGTGGTGGCGGCGAAGGTGGAGGAGGTACAGAGGCTGCTAGTACGTTTCCCATTTTCTTGAATTTTAATGTTTAAGAGTCTTTGTAATTTTCTTTTTCTGCCTGTACAAGTGGTACAATACTTTAACTATTTCACCAGTTATAAATCTTTACGAGAAAGCTTTTTGTAATTACTGTATGTACAAAAGCCCTCGATGAGAAATCTTCCAATTAAATGAAACAGCGTGCTTCTACCTAAGCCGCCATTTGTAAAAGACAGCCACTGCCGCTCAGACCACGAGATTTCTCTTTTCCTCAAATATCCCTATTCAAGCAGGGACATTTGGTACTTACTCAATAAGCGGTCGAACAACTTTTAAACTTAAATTTCCAATGCTAATATTTATTTCACCATATTTCTATATATTGTATATTGCTCTAATGACATTCTTATTTATGTAATATTGTGTAATATTATGTAATATCATGTAATAATCCAATCGAAATTAACAACGGAAAGTAACTTTTAATTTACATTTTTTTTTTTTTTTTTTTTTTTATTTTT